AAAACCGTTAGAAATTTTACGTTGACGTAAAAAAAAGCCGCTAGAAATTATAATATCAACTTTGAAAAAAAAACCGTTACAAATGTTAATATCAACTTTGAGAAAAAAGTTAGACATTCTAATTTCAAGCTTGAATCAAAACCATTGAGAGTTCAGGCATGATACTAGCGTTGAAACATGACTGCCAAAACTCAAAAGTGATACTTTTTTTAATTCGAAACATAACGGTTAATAATTCAGAGGTAGACTTATATTGAAAAGGTGACCGTTAAAAATTAAAATTTGAAGATTAATTTTTAAAAGAACAAGGTGAAATTTTTAAAACAAGACGTGACCGTTGGTTTATTGTCGTCTGCAGTAGTTTGTTGTCGTGTGTAGTAGTTTATTGTCGTGTATCGTTTTTTGTTGTCGTATTTTTTTTTCTCATATTTTCTTTTTGTTCGTAGTTGTTTGCTGTCTTTTGTGCTAGTTTGTTGTCGTTTGTGATAGTTTGTTGTCGTCTGTGACAGTTTCTTGTCGTTTATCGTTTTTTGTTGTCGTATTTTTTTTTCTCATATTTTGTTGTCGTTTATCATATTTTATTGTCGTCTGTGGCAGTTTACTATCGTAGTTTGTTGTCATGTGATGGCTCTCGTTGTATATATAAAGGCTCGCTCTGCTGTGATGAATTCATTCGGTCGATTAACACAACAGCGGTAACATCGACTCTACTACTGTAATCTTCAAAGGCAAGAACAACTGCATATATTTTGAACCATTTTATCAGGTTTGTTGTTGTCTTAGATAGAGTTGCCTTTCAACCTTTCGTCTCGAAAATTCGAAAGCAATATAATTATACATAGTCGGAGAAAAATAGTTCATTACATATTATTATCTACAGCAATTGATAAGTGACTACTGTAACACAAGTGGTAAAAAGTGTCTTGCTACCTTTTGATTGATTTCATTTCTACAATCATATCAACTTTCAAGAAACATACCATATTTGTTGAGGATTCTCATTCTTAAAATTATTGCGAGTTTTTCATCATAACTTTCTAATAACAGAATATTATGTCTATTATCAGATAAGAGAGGTGCTACCAGCTCTTGACGGTAGTTGTACACAGTCGGGGAATACATTCTATATTATCATATTATCTTAAGCAATTCACAAGTGTCTACTTCAGCTGTAGTAGAAAGACGTCTCTTGACAGCTTTTCATTCATTTAATTTTTATAATCATATCTACCTTAAAAACCTCACCAACTTTTTATGTAGCTGAACCTACTACTTTTTTACGTAATCGCTATACAGTATTATAAATTGATTCAAAAAAAATTTTCCTTTCCTTTTACCTTTTCTACTACATCTTGCGCCACTTCATAAGAATGAGTCAGTAACATCAAAATATCTACCCTATTCTCATAACTATAACAACGTATACGGTGAACACAAACCATTCATATTTGTTAAAACAATTTTCATTTCATTACAGTCACTGACATCTATAGTCGACTAAGATTCTAGTTACAGTTAATAATATTATCCGAGATTTATATGTGCAAATATTTATATATTAATTATTATATTGAAAAGTAATTCATATGTATTATACCTATCCTAGAATTACTACCTAGGTAAATATAATATTAAGACACCATCTGATGAGTCCCGCCATGGACAGAAACAACCGTTGTCGTGGTTTGGCGATTATTCTAACCTCACACCCACACCCAGCCTGACTATTTCTTGTTAATGCAATAATCACACCAGACAATCAACAATTATTGAGAATAGTATATAGTAACGCTAGATAACAATAGAAATAATCGAAAAGAATGCAATAGTAAATTGTTTTTAAGCCAAATTCAAATGTTTTGACATTTGATAAGGTTCGACATTTATTCCTTCGATATTATCATATTTCGATCAATTTTTTTTCGACTTTATAAGTTGCGACTCTTTTTGTATGGATATAACTGTAGAAACAACCAACTTTGAATATTTTGATAAGAACATGCAAATTTGCTCTCAACAACTTTTATCAGGGTGAAGATATGCATATCTATAAAATATTTTTCAACTGTTCTTTTTCGTTTGCAACTGCGACATAGTCAATTTCAAACTCCAAAGTAAAAAGAAATTCATTAAAACTCTAGAAAGAAAGTAAAACGGTAAATTGAGTAGGTTTTTACAATTTTCTTTTCTTTCAAGCTTCAATTCATTTTTACGAATCGTATCATGGTTTTATTGCCTTAGCTGATGTTTACTTGAATTCATCTCTTACAACTATTTTTCGCGATTATAAAATTTTTATTACTAGATGAAACATATATAGGATAGTTCGGTAGAATAACTCTATAAATAAGACCAGAATTTCATTATAGTTTTGAATCACTAAATAAATAGAAAATAACTGGATTCGTCTTGTAGGCGGCAATAAATAGTAAGTTACATAATACTATGGGTTGTTTTGCATTTTTTCAGATGTCGCCCAGGTATTTTACGATAGAATGTTGATTGTGGATCAGATGTGGTATAGAAGTGAGTATGGTTTCGCGAGTGTGAATTAGAAGGTATCAAAACAAAGAAACACATCCACGACCACATCCATACTCATCGTTCTTGCTATAAATGAATTTTTTTTATGATAAATAAATATATTCAAATGAATCATACGATCGTATATGCGTAACGCACTTTTCGTCTCAAATCATTCTGAACTCCAAACATGTGTCCGAATGTTCGAAAATAAATTTTTGTCCTTAAATATTTGTGATTGGAGTTCGTAAACAATTTTGTACGGCAAGTCATAATAGACAAGCAGAGGAATCGGAGTGGTGTGACCGAGTATTCGGAATAGAATGTTTTTTTGTTATATCTGATGTAGCTGTCAGAGATCGCAAGAAACAAGGTGGGATGTGGATGTGGGTGTGAATATTAATAAACGGAACTACCACACCCTCGTAAATATTAATGCACGAAATATGAAAAATTTTCATTAAAAAAACTGAAGAACATAAAAATTAACAAAATCCGTTTCTGATTAGTTAAGAGTGATAAATATTCAGACACTTTTTTCTGTTAAAATTTCATTGAGAAAAGAAGATATTAATATCCATTCGTTTGTTCTTTATTAATTTGAATAAGCAGTTTCAAAATACGCCAGACTTGAAGTAGGAGATGTCGATATCAGGTCAGCTGTCATGAACTGATAGTTTAGTTTTCGTTCCTATAGAAACTGAATTGATCAATCAGTGCATATAAGCTACTAATAAGTCACTTCGAACTTATTTTTATTGCAGAAAATCATGTATTCAGACCCATCATCTTCACGGGTACACTGGCATTTTTTTACATTTCTGTAGTTGATTCAGTAAGACAGGCCTTCTTCTCTTTCGTTTACCCGGTATCTTCTTCAATCAATCACAACTATCAGTTTTGCTCACTGTATATTCTCATCTAATCGTAAAATTCGCTAACTGACATTTCAAGTAATATCTTGTTGTCTAGGAAGACGAATGACGGCGAACAAAGGTATTACTCTCATTATGAATGAGGGTTATAATGAAAACTGTCATCCTCAATTAGTATCAATCGATTCAACTGTTCCATATATTCATGAAGCAATCAACGCTCTCGATATTCAATCATCGTCGTCTCCTTTTATTATAGCCGATTTTGGTTCAGCTCATGGATATAATTCAATTCATGCCATGAAAGCGATCATTCAATGTTTGAAAGAGACCAAAAAGGTAAATGATAGAAGATCGTTTCTTGTTATTCATAATGATTTACCTACTAATGACTGGACAATATTTTTTGATCTTCTTAATCAAGACAATTCCTATTACGGTGTAACTAGCGGTCAATCTTTTTATGAGCCATGTCTACCACCGAATTCGCTCTTCATTGGCTATTCGTCCACTTCACTCCATTGGCTCTCACGTAAGCCATGCAACATATCAAATCATTGTGCATCCCTATTTGCAAAAAACGACGAGCTCAAAGCATTTCAAGAGCAAGCTCGTCTCGACTGGAATCTCTTTCTTGAATATCGTTCACATGAATTGATTCCTGGTGGTGTGCTCATTCTCCTTATTCCGTCTGTCGATGATCAAGGGTTTAACGGTTTCGATATTCTTAGAGAACTTCTTTATAACTGTGCTCAATCGCTACTAACCCCGCAAGAATTACTCGATTATACGTTTCCAATACATGCTCGTTCATATTCAGATTGTATCGATCATCAACTATTTGCTCGTTGTTGTTTGGAACTAATCAAATCCGATTTCGGCTCAGTAGAAATGCCCTTTATCAAGCAATGGAAAAACCAACAAATGACACAGGATGACTTCATTCGATCAATGACACAGTACGTTCGTAGTTGGTCCGAGTCGACTCTTAAACAGGCACTCATGGTAAATAATCGATCAAAACAAGATACAGAACATATATTAAATGAATGTTGGTCTTTATTTAGTCACAAAGCAAGAGAACAATGGGATCAATTATTAGACTTGCGCATGAATTTTACCTATGTAGTTTTGAGAAAAAAGAAGGCAAGTCCTGAGTAAAAAAAACGAAATCAAATATACTAAAAAAATTGTTCTTATTCACCGCTAGCTCTGTATAGGGTACAGGTATGAGTGGAACTATAGGTGTGTAGGTGTGGCTATCGACGTGTGTATATGGAGTGTCAGTATCAGTATGAGTGTTGTTTCTATTCACACTTACACCCACATCGATCATTGAACAAAATGCAAATAACATAACATCTTCAACACGCCGACTGTTCGATGGGTATTCTCAAATCCGTACTGCTACGTATGCTTCCTAGTACAAGCGTAAGTTTCGACATATCACCGCAACTATATCTTGGATGAAATCATCTGTGGACAGACAGTATTACAGATAGTGATATTGAAAAGTTTGAAATTATCGATGGTATTCTTCGTCAACATATATTTCTCATTTTGAAAGGATTAGAAACTATGAAAGATAAATTGTTTTCTGCTACAACACAGATAAGTATCAATCAAGAAAAAATTGCTAATCGAATAATGCAAAAAGTTCGAGAAAAGATAGAATAAGCAACAAACTTTATTGCAAAAAAGACAAGAATGGTGATCTTCCATAGGTGATTGGATCAGGCAAGTTGACCAAACGGCGTAAACGCAACAAAAGATTTCGTTGATGATCATAGCAATTGCAATATTAAGACTTGAGAGATTGAGAACTTTCAATAATATTTTTTCATGTCAATAAAAATACATGTAATTGATGCTTTTGGAAAACTATCGTTTTAAGAGAGAATGTGAGTATCAGAGAAGTTTCAATTTATGTAGTTTTCAATTTTTTACTAGGTAAAATATTTATATTGAAGATGTTAATTAAATTGGTAAGTTGTGTGTCTATTTGCGCTATTTATCCTAAGATTAACATAACAAAGAACTTCATTTGATCAAGTTATAACTTTCAAAAGTCAATAATATTAGCGCGTACGTTGATCGAGAAATATAATTGTTATTGAATTTCTACGGTAAATATGATGGAAATTTACAATAGTCTTCTTCATCGTTTAAATCAACGATTGAAAAATCAATAGTGCTATATCAAGAAAAACGAAATGCAAAAGTAAAACCTAACAGCAGAATAGTAAAAATTCAAAATAAGAAAGGCGAATATTAAAAGAGAATAAAATTCAGTTGGAAATGCAAATGCATAACTAAGAAACATTCTTGCACTATGGTGAGTCTGACTGGATCTAGAATCTTGTCGTTATAGTCGGTTTTCGTTCAGGGTGTGTAGTATGGATGTGGGTGCGACTGATTGTGAAAAGAAAACACCTACGCTCACACATCCACACCCCAAAATATCCACATTTATCCTGAATAGTATTTTGAATATAGAAATAATTATGACAATAGCGAAGGACCTTGAAACAATTTTGACGAGCAATATAAGTAGAAAGAAGATGTACTTAGGGCATAACAAAAGTAGTGTCGCTCCCATCTTAATTTCGTATAGAACGCTTAAGAAAATTTTCTTCTTTTATGAACAGATAGAGCGTCGTTTGCTCTATTTTTCTATGCTATTGGATTACTATTTAACTGATATCATAATAACAAAATTTCGATAATACTGTTTTTTTTGTAACTCCATCTGGTACCAATAGTAGATATCATCATCCATGTGTGTTTTCTTTTCTTATTTTCTTTTCGTTTTTCTTTATTTTTCTCTTCTTCTTTTTAGAAAACACGCTCTATATTTCTCTCTCTTTTCTTTTCGTATGTTCAGGTTATTCAACTGCATTTTTTCTTTTCTATTCTATACTATTCTCCCACTTGATGCACTCATCTCATCTCTCTCCTTTGATCTGACTCATGATCTTCTGGAATATTCTTCGGTGTCTGAGCTCGGGTATATATACCTGTCACTTTAGACGACTAGTTCAGTTTTGCGCATGT